CAGCCCGCAGGCCGATGCTCTATCCACTGAGCCAAACCGGTTAGGGTTTGCCTGTAGTTGTTATGAGGGCTGATGCTTGGAGAAGAAGCAGGTTTCATTACTGACAACCACGTGGAGGCGCCAGTGGAGATCGAAAGGGGGTGTCCGAGCATCTCAGGAGGTGACAGCGGGGCTCTCTGTTATGTGAATTTCCTGTTACACCGTATTCTTTTCCTCTTTTTTAAAATAGATTTTTATTGATTTCAGAGAGGAAGGGAGAGGGAGAGAGAGAGACAGAAACATCAACGAGAGAGAATCATTGATTGGCTGCCTCCTGCACGCCCCCCACTGGGGGACCGAGCCTGCAACCCGGGCATGTGCCCTTGACGGGAATCGAATCTGGGACCCTTCAGTCAGAGGGCTGATGCTCTATCCATTGAACAAAGCTAGCTAGGGCAGGTTCTCCTCTTTCTTGATATAGGTGTATCAAGAACACCCCTCTTGCCCTAGCTGGTGTGGCTCTGTGGATAGAGCGTCAGCCTACAGACTGAAGGGTCCTGGGTTCGATTCCCGGTCAGGGCACATGCCTGGGTTGTGGGCTCGATCCCCAGTCTGGGGAGTGCAGGAGGCAGCCGATCAGTGATTCTCTCTCCTCATTGATGTTTCTATCTCTCTCTCCTTCTCCCTTCCTCTCTGAAATCAATAAAGAAATATATTTAAAAAAAGAAAAAGAATCAATGAATGAGTGGAACCATAAATCGATGTTTCTCTCTCTCAGATGAATTAAAAAAAAAAAAGCAAAAAGATAATCAGGAGAGTTTCTGTCCAGAGAACATTTGAGCAGAAACCCGAGGAGCTAGTCTGCATTTTCTCCTTCTGATTTTTCTCAAATAGAGGAAACTTCTAGGCGTTTTGGTTTTTTTTTTTTAAACCCAGAAAACGATTTCACTCGTTTTCAAATTTGTCAGCAATTTCACATAATATCCTTTTCTATTTTTAGCTTATTTCCCTTGTGATGGCCACCATTTACTTCGCCTTAAGTTGGGTTCATTTCTGTTTTATTTCTTTCTTTATTGCGTGTGTCCATTGTATGACTTAGTCCCTGCTTTAACTAAAGGAACCAGTTCAAGGAACTTTGACTGTTTTTCTAGTTTCTAATTTATTATTTTCTGGGTTTTTTTTTTTACTGATTCCTTCCTTCCTCATCTTTATTTGGGGTGTTGTTTTTAATATTTCTAAATGATTTTATGAATATTTTAACTTTTTATGGGTTGAATAATAACACCATTAAAAAAGCTACAAAACTTTTTGGGTAAAGGTTTGCATGTGTCCTGTTGGTTTTCATAAGTGCAATTCTTTGTGTTATTTTCTTTTTAAAAATATGTATATTTTTACTGATTTCTGAGAGGAAGGGAGAGGGAGAAAGAAATAACACAATGGCGAGAGAGAATCATTGACCGGCTGCCTTCGGCACGCCCCCTACTGGGGATCGAGGCCACAACCGGCAGCCATGTGCCCTTGACCAGAATCGAACCAGGGACCCTTCAGTCCGCAGGCCGATGCTCTATCCATTGAGCCAAACCGGCCAGGGCTGTGTTATTTTCTTAATTAATACCTGGTTCCTGATTTCCTCCTTTACCCAAAAGCTATTTTGGAGAGTTTAAAAAATTATTTTTATTTATTGATTTTAGAGAGAGAGGAAGGGGGAAAGAGAGAAACATCAGTTTGTTGTTCCACTCATTTATGCATTCATTATTTCTCTTTTGTTTGTTTGTTTTTAATCCTCACCCGAGGATATTTTTCCATTGATTTTTAGGGACAGTGGAAGGGAGAAGGAAAGACAGAGAGAAACATTGATGTGAGAGAAACACATCGATTGGTCGCCTCCTGCATGAGGCCTGATCAGGGCCCGTGCTGGGAAGGAGCCTGCAACCAAGGTAGGTGCCCTTGACCGGAATCGAACCTGGGACCCTTTGGTCCACAGGCCGACGCTCTATCCACTGGGCCACACCGGCCAGGGCTGCATCCGTTGTCTTGATTCTTGGCTGTGCCCTGACCAGGCCGCACCCGCAACCTTGGTGTATTAGGAAGATGTTCTAACCAACTGAGGCGCCCGGCCACCGCCCGTTTGGGGGAATGTTTATTTCACTTCTCAATATGAATTTCTCTAATATGAATCTCTAATACGAATTTCTAATTTTAGCATATCGTGAACAATGTGCTAGCGGCCCCTATGACATCTGCGTTTCCAGTGCACTGGGGCTTTCTGTGGGGCGGAAAATATGACCCGCTTTTGAAAACGATTTGGCGGATCCTGGAAAGTAGGCTGAGTAACTCACGGCCCCAGCCACAGTCACTGTGTCCCCAGGAGCTGGGGGACAGGATAAAAAGTGAACAGGAAGGAAGCCTCAAAGAGGAAGTGATTTTGAGAGAGGGACAAAGAACTGGCTTTTGTCAGCACCCACTCCAGGCCGGGCAGCACCCTAGGGCCTAGGCACTCGGCCTGTGTTATCTCACTGGGTGGTCTTCACAGCAGGAAACCAAGGCTCCAAGGGGTCAGGGAACTTCCTATACTGTCCCCTGTGCAAAGGTCTGCCCCCCTTGGCTTTGCTGAGGGGGTTCCCACTTTTCTTTCAAGACCCATTTAAAAATATATATATATTTTTGCCCTAACCGTGTGGTTCAGTGGATAGAGCGTCGGCCTGCAGACTGAAGGGTCCCAGGTTCGATTCCGGTCAAGGGCATGTACCTTGGTTGCGGGCACATCCCCAGTAGGAACTGTGCAAGAGGCAGCTGATCGATGTTTCTCTCTCATCGATGTTTCTAACTCTCTATCCCTCTCCCTTCCTCTAATGAGTTAGTTCTGTCATTTCCTTTCTCAAATTGATCACCTGTAGGTGGTACAGAAGTTACAGCCGTCATAGCTTAGACCTAGTGACTTAGATCTAGTTTTCCCTTCCTGTGGTGTCAGGAAGCTGACCTAAATTCTTAGGTCACATAAATCTCATGAGCCGCTTGAGGATAAGAAGAATAGCTTCCTCATTTTGAAACCCCGGTAGCCCATTGTTCAATGTGGTTCAAGACTGACTCTCTCTGTCCTTTCCCTCCATTATGGCATCTTCATTCTGTTTTCTCATCAGTATTTGTCTTTTTTTTTTTTAAATCCTCACCGCAAGACTTTTTTTCCATTGACTTTTAGGGAGAGTGGAAGAGAGAGAGAGGGAAAGACAGAGAGAAATACCGATGGGATTGCCTCCTGCAGGCGACCAGACTAGGGCCTGGGCCGGGGAGGAACCTGCGACCGAGGTACATGCCCTTGATCGGAATCGAACACGGGGCCCTTCGTTCCACAGGTGATGCTCTATTCACTGGGCCAAACCAGCCAGGGCCTACATGCATTATCTCATTTGATCGCCTCAATAACACAGGTGGCCCTGAGCCCATTCTCTAGACCAGCGGTTCGCAACCTGTGGGTCGCGACCCTTTGGGGGTCAAACGACCCTTTCACAGGGGTCGCCTAAGACCATCGGAAAACACATAGATCATTACATATTGTTTTTGTGATGAATCACTATGCTTTAATTATGTTCAATGTGTAACCATGAAAATGCATCCTGCCTATCAGATATGTACATGACGATTCATAACAGTAGCAACATGACAGTGATGAAGTAGCAACGAAAATAATGTTATGGTTGGGGGTCACCACCACATGAAGAACTGTATGAAAGGGTCGCGGCATGAGGAAGGTTGAGAACTACTGCTCTAGACCGACAGGCATGTCAAACTCCCAGCCGGCCCGCCAACGGCGAGTTTGACATGCTGACTCCAGGGAGTGCAGCGCTCAGAGATTGAGTGTGGCCAGGGTCACTCAGCTGGTGCCACATTCAAACTGGAACCCAGGCCCCTCCTGTGGTTAAAGCAGATGCACGCAGACACACACCCACCTCACTCCTCTGGCCTGGTCATCATCATGGCTGCCCAATCGTGTCCTTTTCCCGCAGACAGCGCGCTTCATTAATGCCTTAAAGGAAATTCATGAGAGTGATCCCTAAGGTTACAGGCTGATCCATTCATCTGTTCTTACCAACAATACACATTTACTGAGTCCCTCCCTCTCGTCCGTCCCCCACCCCCCAAAGTAGGCTGGCCCTGGACACAGCAACCCAGGTGCAGGTCCACCCATGGCACCCAGGCCTGCCTCCTCTTCCCCTCCCCTCCCCGTTCTCACCCCACAACCCTTTATCTCCCTTCACAAAAAGCCCCATTCTCTTTTTGCACAATACACTTTCACAATAGAGAGTCTATTCACCCCAGAGCCAAAATCGTCAGCAGCCAGAACACTGGTTCCTGTTTCCTGCTAGGTCTTCAAGCATCTCCAGGGCAGAAGAAGTAACTGCTTTCTGCCACATGACTTCCGGTTTGCTGGGCTGTTTGGGACTGTAAGTGCCCTGAAGGCCTGACTTGGATCTTTTTTTTTTTCTTTTCCCAGCGTGATAGTTTCTTTTTTGCTTTGTATTGATTTCAGACGGGAAGGAAGAGGGAGAGAGAAATAGAAACATCAATGATGAGAAAGAACCATTGATTGGCTGCTTCCTGCACGCTCCCCACTGGGGATCGATACTGGAACCCAGGCATGTGCCCCTGACCGGAATCAAACCGTGATCTCCTGGTTTCATAGGTTGATGCTCATCAGGTGAGTCACACTCTCTGGGCAGCATACCATTTTTAAAGCCCCAACATTGATGTTACGTTATCCAATTCTACTGAAAGTTCTAAAATGTGTTCCTCTCTTCCGCAGCCAAGGCACATTTAGTATATTTGGGCCTTTCCTTGGTGACTCAGGGTCCCAGGGATGCCGTCAGGGTTGTTGGTGTGGGCGAGGCCTGTAGCCCTGCGTGGAATACCCTCCCATCCCAGCACTCACAAGGCCTGCTCCCTCTCTTCTGACCGCCTCAAGCTTCTTTCCTCGATCAGCTGCTTCCTGCACACCCCCTACTGGGGATGTGCCTGCAACCAAGGTACATGCCCTTGACCGGAATCGAACCTGGGACCTTTCAGTCCGCAGGCCGACGCTCTATCCACTGAGCCAAACCGGTCAGGGCTAGTAAGTAATTTTTAAGCAATAACATATTAGAGAACAGGACCTAGGCCTCTCATTCCCTCCACAGTACAAAAGATCCAGGTCAGCCTTAGCTGGTGTGGCTCAGTGGAGAGTGTCGGCCTGCGGACTGAAGGGTCCCAGGTTTGATTCCAGTCAAGGGCACATGCCTGGGTTGAGGGCTCGATCCCCAGAGTGGGGTATGGAGGAGGCAGCCGACCAATGATTCTCTCTCATCACTGATATTTCTCTCTCTTTCTCTCCCTTCTTCTCTAAAAACAATAAAAGTATATTTTAAAGAAAAGAAAAATGAAGGAATCATCCAGGATTTAGGGGTGAAACCCAAAGAAAAGGAAAAATCCATGTGGGGTCAACATCCCACATTTGCAAATTATTTTTCCGGGAGTAATGACAGGGTGCATCAAATCGTCTACCTCTAATGACCCCGCCTGTGACCAAGGGTGTCTATTTGCATTGCTTTATTCCCAGTAACTTAATCAGCCTTATTTGCATACATATAAGACTAAAAATATGCCACAAGAAACCTAGGCCATCGACCATAAACAGGAAACTGCCAGCTTCCCCAGTTCACAACCAATAAATACGTAAGAGCCACAATGATGAAACCCTATTGCTGTGGGAGAGCTCATTGGTATAAAGCCTGGAATACAGCCCTGACCGGTGTGGCTCAGTGGATAGAGCGTCAGCCTGCGGACTGAAGGGTCCCAGGTTCGATTCTGGTCAAGGGCATGTACCTTAGTTGCGGGCACATTCTCAGTAGGAGGTGTACAGGAAGCAGCTGATCAATGTTTCTAACTCTCTATTCCTCTCTGTAAAAAAAATCAATAAAATATGTTTTTTTTAAAAAAAGCCTGGAATACAATTTCATATTAGCAATCAAGAAAAGCTTAAGAGGCCTGGCCAGGGTGGCTCAGTGGTTGAGCATCGACCCAGGAACCAGGAGGTCACGGTTCGATTCCCGGTCAGGGCACATGGCCAGGTGGCGGGCTTGATGCAGCCGGTCGATGATTCTCTCTCATCACTGATGTTTCTAGCTCTCTCTCCCTCTCCATTCCTCTCTGAAATCAATAAAAACAAAACAAAAGAAAGCTATGTCTTTGCTTATTTTATAAAAGAAAAAGCTTAAAAGTTTATACCCTTTAGTTCTGCAACTTCAGTTCTAGAAACCTGTTTTGAAAGAATCAGGAACGTGGACAAAGATGCTATGAAGGATGTTTACCAAAGGCTCACCAGTGCCTCTATGTTGGCCAAAAATTACAAATAAAAAGAGAAAAGGAAAAGAAAAAAGGAAGAAAAAAAACCTAAGTGTTCACAACGAGGAAATGGTTAAGGAGGTAGTGGTGTGCGTGTTTGATGTAATACTGT